GTGTTCACATACACATACACACACAATTAGTCCTTCACCAGGTGTACATTGATTTTTGCAGCACTTATACCTTGATAAGGAGGATTAAGTAAGAAACTTAAAGGATTCTTTGTGCACTGGATTGACCAGAATAAGTCATGTGGAAAAGGCAAAGGAAATTTGCCTGCTTGAGAATTAGATCCTGTTCCTAGGGTGATAAAAAAACGTGATGACTATGATCCTTGTTTCTCATGTATGACTTATTATATTCATATCATTCCTTTAAATGACCTGCCGGAGGTGCTTGGCATTATTTCACCTTGCATTTTTCTCCTTGCTCAGAGTGCATAAGGAGCTATATCTACTAAACAAATTGCAGTTCTACATGGTAGGTGTGGGGTCAGCTAAGGTGAACATGCAAATATGACTTTGGGCAGGAAGAGCTTTATTAGAAATGTATAGGATTATCAATCTACTAAGAGATTAGCATAATGTGGTAAAAACAGTGGGTGAAATCATGAAAATAACAGGAATATTTCTGTTGACTTCTAGTGGCATGAGATTTCAACCACTATTGTACTGTAGCTCAAATAGGTGATTTACCTATCAGATGGGTATAGATTGGGAAAGAGAAATCAATGCAGAGAGGCCCCTTCTTCAGCTGGGAGTAGAGATGGGTCATTGAGATATATCAGCTGCTTGTTTCCTAGCAATTGAACCACAAAGGTTCAGAATGTCCTTTCTTGTTTGTTTTACTCCCCCAATTCAAATATTTACCAGCATCTTACAATAGATGATACGATAGGCTGATGGTAGATTGTAAGAACTGGAATGATTTCAGCAAATTCAATTGCCAATGTAATACATCCTTAAATCAGAATACATATTAGAAGAGATCAAGCCTGTGACTAGCATAGAAGCTTGGCATCTTGGTGGCAGCTTTATATATTATCCTTGCATCTAGTTAACAATTTTTTTACCTTTCTGTACTATGATCCCTGAATATATTTATATTTTGAATATTTTGCTTTCTTTCTGTGAGTATTACCTAACTGCCAGTTAAGTGATATGAATTATGAAAAATAGCTGTATAAACTCTTGCTATTGCATTTTCCTTCAGCTCTTCAAGTGAGTCTACAAAATATTATTATAGTGCAATCCTATCCATGTCCCTTCAGTAGTAAGTATCAGTGACCTGATTCACATGATAAACTCATCCTCACCATGAGTTGTTAAGCCATGGTGGGCAGAGTATGTGCTGGATTGGATTTGCATATGCAGTACCTGGCCATGGTTTGCCCTGTTGTGTGAGCTCAGGTACCTCGAGTTATGTGAAAGTTAAGCAACATAACACATGGTATGATACTGGGTTTTGTGAGGGTTGTTTAACTTACTACTTTGTACAAATTGAGAAGGTTATGAAGGAGCACAGAAGTGGAAAGACTATGGTCTTGAAACCAGCTTATGTTGTTACTCTTGGTAAAGTCTTCGGGTGAGGTGGGAGGAAATACTTTCAGAATAGGTCCTGAAATAGAATTGTTTCTATTTTTAGTTTTAGTTGCTGCTGCTTTCAGGTCTTTTGCTTACTCCTACAGCATATTTTCTGGTCAAAAGAATGATAATAAAGCTTCTGTTTTCCATGGTAAAGCAACATATTTACATACGACAAATAACAAAGTAAATGCTGCAGACAGGATCTGGCGTGATAATTAAGTACAATGGCGACCCATATGAACAGAAAATGCCAGGGAGCTAAAACAAAGCAACAACAGCTTTGTTTGTTGACAGATGTAGGAGCCATATTGTTAGTTAATTGGGTAATGGTGTAAACATTTGCAAACTCTGCAGTCCCTAGGTGAATTAAAAAAAAAACAGCAGACATGCCGAAATCAAGGGTGAAAGACAGCAAGTCTCCTCTTAGTGCAGGTAGACAACTAACCTCCAAAACTGAAAGCACATGAGAAAAGGACATCGCTCATAGTTGTGATTAAGGGTAACTTGAGTTTGCAAACCCAAGAGTTCTGATTAGAATGTGCTTCCTTAATTACACTCAAGTGAATAATAGGCTTCCATCTGGTTACAGTCTGGAGGATAGTGTTCATTAACCCAGCCTCGCTTTTCAAACCAGTCTTCGCCTGATACACAGAAGACTTTTTCGCTCTACGTACCTTTTCTTGATTTTGCAATAAAGGGGTTGTGGGATTTGGAAAGTGAGTGGATTTAATTAGATACAGACTTGAACTAAACAGAGAAAGCAAATTGCTTTTCTCAGGTGCACTGTACCTCTTGTCCAGAGAAGCTGTACCTCTTGTCCAGCACTGTAGCAGTGAAATGCCAAGATTTGTTATAGGAAACAAAAATCTTTATTAGTATGTTTCTCTAATTCTATAATTTGAAATTCAGCATTTTTGAAGTTTTATAAAAATATGAAATGCTTTTTTTCTGGGAGAGCTGCTTCTCAATAGTTTTAGGAGGTGTTTTTTCTGAAGACTGTAATTTGTATACAGGTATCACTGTACAAAAATCTGTATCAATGAGTCTTTAAATATATATTATGACCTCTGCCATTCACTTCATAGTGTTATAGCATGTGCACATATATTCTATAATAAATTCTGGATTTTAAAAGCTACCTTCCTAAAGAGCATAATAATAAATCAAATTGTATGGTAAGTATATTGTAGATACACTTGAACTGTAACTATGCATTACTGTATATGATAGAATAGCCTATTGCCTACAGAGGCTTATCCTACAATAATCTTTGTATTTTATATTCTTACATGTGTTTTCATTTTCTCTGTCAACTTTCCTAAAAACAGCTGCTGAATGATAGTTTAAAACACAGCAATAAAATTAATTGATTCAGTTTTGTATATAAGATATTACAGGTTGTTATTTTGCCCACTTATCACTAAAGTAACTATATACTATAATGCAATGAGGGATCAATCCTATGGCAACTGGAGAGCATCTGAAGGCCATAAGATAGTTTGAATACTCCAGTTCAAGGTTGGCAGGAGTGTTCTGACCTTAGAGTGGGAAATCAGAGAACCAGGGGGAGAAGTAATGGCACTGACTGCCCTCTGAATTTAGGAAAGTGACCTTCAAGAATGACAAAAGGTGGGGGTTTGGTAGGTGAAGGAGGCCAGGACATGAGCAACTCTGAAGTTTTTCGTGGCTGGAAATGCATCAGTTAGACCAGGGTAAAGCCCTCTCCTTCCACTCTGCATAGGACAATTGTAAACTCCCCAAGTTCAGGAGCTTGCAGTCATTTAGTTTACAGCCCATAAGATTGCACTCTAATTTGTAATAAGAAGCAGTTATACAAAGCTTTGGAACTGAAAGAAGGCACTCATGTTTATGTGTTTAAAATGCCAAGTTTTTTCTATTAACCCCTCTCCTCAAGTCTTTCAGGCTAATACATTATTTCCTTAAAACTTACAAAACTTTATTATATATTAATGAATTTCAGCTCCATCCTAGGGACTTTTTCCAACCAACTATGAAAACACTAGAATGCTGAGTACCGGCTGCAGAATTCTCGTAATGCATATATGCTCCATGCTGAAAGGTGGTCAGCAGTATAAATGTTGATGGCCATTGAGGTAGTGTAGAGTAGAGGGTGCTCTGTGCCTTTTTTGAGAACAAGAGCAGAGACCTCATCTGCCAGAAGACTAGATATTCCTTGCTTCAGGCAAGCAAATGAGGTGATAATAAGATTCTCCGTTTTTGCCATAGTTCTAACAAACATAGCATAGAAGAAGGAGATAAAGGTAAACAGTCCAGCAGAAGTTAGATACATCTTTTCTTTTCTATGAGAGAGGTTCCTGCTTCACAATAGCAGTTGGTAACACTTCAAGATTATTTGCATTTCTACCAGGATGCACAAAGCAGTATAAAATTAAAGTATTAAAAGATAAAAACACAATAAAACAAATTAAGTGAAAAATCTTCATGAAGTGAAAACTGTACAAAAAACACTAAAGCAACAGTGAAGGGGTGAACTGGAGGATGGAATAAATTAGGTCATAACACTACAAATAGATTGGTGTAATGTTTATTAGTATGGAGCTGTCTTATTCTCCATATGGAGAGAGGCTTTGACAACTATTTTGCTCATATAAAGTACCTTTAAAAATAATTTTACCCCAAAAAAGAGCAGTTTACAAAAATTTGTAATATATCTGGTAGAGTGAGAATCATTCTGTGTTAGTGAAACATGCTGGTAGATATTTCTGCAGTTTTCATTATCTGTTCTGCTATTATCCGAAGACTCAAACTGTATTAGACCACTTAATTCTACACAAACTGTAATTGCATATTATGGATAGGGACAGGGGTCTGGCACATTCATTAGGGAAGAAATGTTTGTAAACCATCTAGACATAAACAAACAAGGTTTTTATGCAGTAGTTTCCAGTAATGCACCTTCTAAACAAGGTAAAATCTGGTTGTAATTGGTAAAATATAGTATCAGAGGCCTGTTGACGTTAAAATTGATTAATAATTTAATTATGCCAATTAATTTAATCATATAATGAAGTTTATGGTGGCACTGAAGATGAATTATCCATAATGTTCTTTAACAGTGCTTTGCAAAATGAAACTGAAATAATTACACATTTGGAATACCAGCCAAATTCAAATACTTGTGGTCTAGGTAGAATACAGTGTCCAATATGTTACTTTGGTCCCTTGCATTTGTGACATATTAACATTCTTGCCCACTGACTAATACTGTTTGATTATCTAGATAAAGTAAAAGCACACAAGACAAGTAAAAATGTGAGATGCATTTAACAAAAAGCCTGTTTTTTTTCCTGGCTGTTCCAAATGTGTACATATCTCTACTAGCATGAATGAATTAATGCTGTTTTCCTGAAACAGGAAGCAAAAATATATCAGAGCAACTCTGGAATGGTATCAAACAGCTTCTGAAAATGAATCAGAAGACTACCTGTACTTGTCTTTTCAGGTTTTCATTATTCTTTTATATATGTGTGTATGTATCTTTACAGGTGACCCAGCTGGATCCAAATAAATCATTACTGGAGTTAAAATTGTACCCTCAAGAAACACTTTTCCTAGAAGCAAAAGAATAGAGGAAGCCAGACTGGAGGACTAAGAAATCCTTTGATAACGAATGAGGCACGGCGAACGCTTTATCCAAATCACCGTGTACTACCATTTAACTCAAAAATCAATGTCACAACTCTGCCTCTTTCAAGAAGCCAGGAAGAAAGAAAGAAAAAACATAGATCCTTAAAAGTTTCCCATACATGAGTATATGTTTTCAACTTCTTTTAAACAAGCAGAGAAAAATACTCTGCTGTAAACACTGAACACTATGACTTTGTTGCTCACCTACCATCTGGCTTTTGTTATAATTAATGCACTGTTAAAATGTGAGTGATTGTCAAGTAGAATTTTTACTCCTTAATTACTCCCTCTTTTTCACCAAGAATTCTTGGACATTTCTGCCTGTACTTTTGACACTAGAATACTGTATATTTGATATCTTGCTGAACCAGTGCTCTCATACCTGTGCATCTTCTTTCTGTGTTTGAATTTCTACTTTACCACCTTTTTTTTAAAGGCAGAAAATCAATAAATGGGACATTTTCAGCCTGATGATTTAACAGTATTGTAGTTGTAGAAAGCAGAGACCTCTTTTGTTGGTACTTTCTGACTTCTTTCATAAGATGTAAGGTTTTGTTTGGAGAATATAGTTTGACATATATGCAAGATATTTATTTTCTGATTTTTATTTTTTGTTTTACTTTGGATCTCAGTTCAGATCCAGTTTAGGGAGTATTTTCCATTACACTGCAGTGTGCTGAACTGCTGATGATGTGAATATCTCAATAATGTTCAGAAATGGGCCAGTACCAAAAAACTGGCATTTAGCTGACAGTTTAGAATTACATTGATACAACTACCAGCTTCTAAAAATGTTACAAATAGAAGACACAAAAGTTTGTTGCTCATCATTGTGGAAGAAATCACATCCCCATTTCTTTTTTCTTTCATTTCTGACATTGGTTTGTATTATTTTTTCTGTTGCTTTTAAGCACCTTGTTTATTTCAGCAAACAATAAAAATGTAAAATTACAGTATATTAAGAAATGTTCTTCATTGCAGAATTTGATGATTGATCCTTTCTGAGAAATGTATACCTTTACCCAGGGATCTGTTTCTGTAGTCTAAAGTGTAGAAACCAACTATACTTGCCGCATAAAATTTCATCCATGATTTTGTAACTTTTTTAGCAGAACTCTAGGCTTAGAGTATAGTGTACAAAAGCACCACAGAAATATCAGCTAGTAAACAAAGCACTTGTTTTCTCTGTGTTTGTCTGCAATTAATTCATGTTCTTTATTCCAGTAGATTGTATCCCAGTTTGAAGGTTTAAGAACAAATTGCAAACAAACTTAAACACATCTTCAGTCTTGTTCTTCCTTTGGGAAAGGTGAAGATATGAAATCAACGTGGGACTATTATTAGGTGTTTAGTGGTGCTGATACATTATTTTTTACCAAAAATGCAAAATGTGGAGGGAAGTGGGGGAAGCTTTACTATCTCTTACAATAATTCTGTTAGTGAATACACACAGGACATATATTAGAAGAAGTGGTTTATTCATGTCAAACTCAATATGTTTGTGTGTGATATGTTTTAATCATCTACGGGACACAAAAACTCATCACATTGCCAAAGGGAAGATAAATGTAATGGAAAAAACATTTTTTCTTAAGTGGAAACTCAGATAACAAATTTAATATTTTTTCTACATGTAAGCAGGAAAAAAGAAATCTAGCTGAAGTGTGAAATGCTAAAAGTCCCATGGTTTTCAGTTAGTGAAAGTAAGAATTCAGAGAAAGTTAGAGTTACATTGAAATCAGCAGGAGTCAAAAGTGCTTAACTTTGGTTGTGTGACAACTAACTTAGCAGCCACTTAGCAGTCCCATTAAAATCCTTTAAATTATTGTGAAGCAAGTGTAATTTGCTTGGCATTAGCAGGCATTTGTAAAAGTTATTTTCAATGGTATTTCATTTCATTTGTAAGTACGCTTATGTTGAGTGCACTTGCTAAAGTGTTAATACAACATTGGCCTGAATACAGAGTTAACTATCTGCAAATAAGAGGATTTCTTTTAGTGGAGGGAACTAAGATACAGTGTAGTTTCCCTGTTGGAAGGGGGTATGATACTCATTTTCACCAATTCCTTCTTTTCCCTATAGTTTCCAGCAGTGCCTCATACATACCCCATCCCTCTAGACCAAATTTTCAGAGTAAGAAGAAACAGAAAATTGGCTCCCCACTGCCACCTCCTTGTGTAATCAATTCGTGGAGTTCTGTTCTGGGTCAAGCCCAGTTTATGGGATATTTAAAAGTTTATTTTGCATAACCTCTTTCATTTGGAGGTAATCATGCTCTCTGCTCTTGCTTAAATTTCTTTCTAGTATTTTGGTTATATATTCATTACATTTATGTTTGTTTGTTAAATGTAGGATAGTCTCTTTTAAAGTAATTAAGCACCATGGTACTATTTTATGCATCCCAACCTCAGCATTTGTTTACTAATTTCTTCTCATCCTGAAGAAGAAACTGAAGCCATAATTTACAAACCACACTCTGGATGGACTCAGTCATGGACTCAGTCACTGGCTTCTATGAATGTGTTGTTAATGTGGGTAATCCATATAACCAGGGCACAAATAAGCCTTGATGGTTGGCAGGAATGCAAGTTGTTCCAGATTTTTTAAACATTTTGGTGCCCTTGATCAGCATTTGTGAACACATTTATTTTGTGTTAGTGAATGTACACATCCAACATGAAATTGGCTGCCAATTCCTGTAGTGCCAATCCCGTTTTAATTTTGGCCATGTAAAAGTGCTTCACTGATATTGTTGTTTTCTCTGAGTCTGTGAGTCTATTTTTGGAAGACCACAAGAACATTTACTTTCCTACTAAAATAAAACATTGTTAATATAAGGTCAATTCCCAATGTTTGGATTTTTAATGTTTGACTCTATTTTAAAAAATTAAACTGTGATCAAAACGCTTCGCAAATATGGGCGCACAATGCTGCTTGTCATTCATGTAGCAATAGTATTTTGTAGGCAATTTTATATATACCCCTTTTCTGTCAGCTTCATAACAGTCATAACTGCATTTTCTCCACAGATACCAATTCACCAGCCCTTTGTTTTCATTGTATAAGTTGTTCCTTCACCTAACTATTACACTGCTGCTATACATCTTATCCTGGTTAGACGTCATATCCTGGACTCCACCTTTACATTATTCACTTTCATATATTACATTAATATGAGCTCCTTCATATTAATGTATTATCATTAAAGTTTTGAATGCATTAGTATTATATATTAAGGCATTACTGTTTTCAGTTAAAGAAATCTTGCAATGAACTTTTCTCTTTTGACTACTACCCCATTCAATAGAATGGGAAACTGAGAAGCTCTTTTGGCAGCAGCAACTGCAGCTTCTGATGTACCTCTGCATTTTGACATTGCTGTTTAACCTGGTATTAGAGATTATGCAAAACCCAAGTGTCTCTTCTGTGTTCTCTTCACAAATGCTCTTTACATTTGATGGGGTTGAGATTTTTATGGAACTGCCTTTAAAAAAAAAACATGTAGCAGAGCAGGACTATGGCTTTCATAAATTGTACCTTTTAAGTGACATTAGAAACATTAAATAAATTTGAAATTACACTAAAATTTCTACTACAATCCAATTTACCTTTGTCTTAAAAGATTATGTCAATGTACTTTCATTCCTCTGTATGACTAAGAAAAATAAAGTCTTAATCCAGAGGTCAAACACTGGATAGCCCAGGGATGGACAGTGTAGTCTTTCTTGCTGTTCTTAGGGTGTGTGAAGACATAAGAAGGATATAACTATAACACAATGTATTCCCAGATACCCTTAATCTTATTTTGATTATAATTTTTATCAAGAGTAACTGTTGAATATAGGAGATCTGGAGTGCAATCCAATATTTCATTCCTGTTAAAACGTGCAATTTGCCTTTCTTAAACATGGTTTTCCTTAAGAAGGTTTATAAATTGATTTCAGTGTATAATGAAAGCACGTATCTTTAAAAATCTCCTTTTAACCAATCAGTATTGCAGTTGCACACTTGCCACAGACAGAAATAAGTATCCTTATTTGAATAAAGGGACCCAACCAGCCAGTTTTTTTTTGGTGGCGGGAGGTGGTACTATGGCCAAGTGCTATAAAAAGTTGTACTGGACCATGCAGTTATAGCCACTTACGTCCTCACAACTGCATTTGTTATTTTTATTATATTTACAGGTTCACCTCCTAAAGGATATTCTCTGGGCAGCTTATAGAGCAGAAAGCAAAACATGGCTATCAGGCTCCTTGCTGTCTTAAGCAAAAGAACTAGCAAAACAGCAAAGATTTGGTCCATGTAAGCTTTAACCTTCCCCCTCTCTGATAGAGGGGAGGATTGGAAATGGCTCAAGGCACCCATCTAGCTACAGGGATTGACCTTAAAGCCTATCTGGGCCTTGTTGTCCTGCGATTCCATTAGAAATATTGAACAAGAAAGGAGAAAGTTTGCCATACAGCACAGAGAACATATGGTGGCAGTGGATTTAGAAATGAACATTACAGCAGCCCTTTAGAAAAACAGAAAAGACATGCCACAGGTGTGAGCATTTACACTTCAGTCACTTGAGGAGAAAATTGATGCTTTCCTCAATTCCCTAATATCATTACAACAGCAAATGAAGCACTCTGGATGGGATACTGCATAAGAACATCTTACAGAGACTTAAGCAGGCCACCCAAGCCATAAGTCAGAAGCCTGAGGATTTGGAACACAGATGCAGATGCCAAAGTATTCCTATTCATGGCATTTTGAAATGGAAGAGGAAAACAGTATTGCAGAATTTCTGGTGTACTGACTGTCTGACAAATTCCAAGAGTTAAGGGTTCTTAGCCTGGAGACATCATAGTTTGCTTTGGACACATCATAATCAAAGAGATGCTGACGCATGCACTACACAAGTCTTGACCTCCCACATTTAAAGGCAGAATTTTTGAGATTTTTCAAGATCTGAGTGCAGAGGTCACTCATAGCTAAACTCAGGGATGTTGAGTGCACATATCACTACTGGCCAGCTGTGAAGTTAGCAGAAACTCAGCTGGTGCTGTTCATGAAGCAAAAGTGATGTCTTCATTGCTACAATTTGAGGGGCAACTAATAAAGACAGCCTAGACAATGGAAAAGAAGAGGGCTGTCTTATGAAAGAACCCTGTGTGCATGCAGTCAACCAGGAACTGTAGTCCTGAACAGAAATCATGCTGAGAGAGCTCTTGATGGCCTTCCATTGCTGAAAACAGTGAGTGAAATGAATGGGAGACTGTGAGTACAGGCTGAGACTTGACATCATAGCAACTGATATGTAGGTAGTAAATCATGCTTACATGGTCTCCAGTGCATGCAGTGATAGCACATATAGACTGAAGTGTATTATCAGTGCAAATGCAGATTGGTTTTATCAAAGTGATGGCTCTATAAGGTCTGAAAATAATAATGCCACATATAAGCAATTTAATGAGGGACAACCTAGTTGTTTTGTTTCTTGACTACCCCAATTTATGCCAAGCAGAAGCAGGTGACTCTTTGAATCGCTGCAAGAAGGAACCTAACTGAAATTCCTTCCATATGCTAGCAGAATATTTTGATGTTGATTTAAAAAATTCTTATTTTTTGTATTTCTATACCACCAGATAGTCAAAGCTCTCTTGTACTTTGTAGGCAATATTAATATGTTATGTCAGTGCCAGACCAGGTAGCAGGACTTGTAAAGCCTTATCGCTGTTGAATACCACCGGGGAGCTTAAAACGTGTACCCTAAATGTAAAGTGGCTGGGCAATCTGGTAAAAAGATGAATGCAAAGGTGAACCAAGGGACCTGGAGGTTGATTGTTTGAAAAAGCAACATACAAGGGAAACTATGGTGTCTATACTTTTACAACCGGAAACAATTATGCACCAAATTCAGGCCAGCAGTTTTTAAAGCCTAAAACCTTGAGGCCTTTAAGAGGGTGGGGGGAGGATGGGCTTAGGGATAGCTATTTGGACACGTGAGGGAACTAACCAACGCCAAAATGGACAACCTAATACAGGATTATATATTACTGGATCCTGAAATGATCATGACACTGCAGAAAGGCCCTACACACTCTTTTCTCCATGACACCATAGCCTTGTACATATCCTGCTCCACTGTTCAGGATGTCCCCAATGCCTTGATGACCAGTAACTCAAGATTTTCAGACCACAGTCCTGTCATAACTACATTTAATGCCTATGGGTAGCAGCCTGCCATATATGAGCCAATCTGGGCTGGACACGGGAGATCTGGCCCAGTTGGCCATGAAGATCACTGGGTGATTTTGAGCCAGTGGCTCACTTTCAACCTACCCTACCTCACAAGTTTGTTGGGAGAATAAAATGGAGCCATCTAGCCATACTGGTTTCCTCACAAAAGGAAAAAGGTGTGGTATAAATGCAATGTAAGCAGCAGCAGCAGCAGCAGCATGGAAGCTTAATCAAATTATCTTAATGAGGTAAGGGACTAGTGAGTCCCTGGGCACTTAAATAGAGTCCAGTAGCCAATATTCCCTTCCTGGGCAAGGTGCTGGTCAATTCCAGACACTCTTCATTGAAACATTATCTAGATCCATCCTGGTTTTGGAATGCAAACTGGCTTGGTTACCCTGTTGCCAGGAGAAGGAGAAAGGAGTGTGACACCATTAAATTTCTTGGACATCCAAGTGGCTGTTGATACTGTCAGGGCTACATGAACCAAAGCACTGCCATGATCTCTTTCAGTTGGCTTGCTTAGTTTGCAAAAAGCAGGAGCCAACAAGAACAGCCAGTGCCCAATAAGAGTGGCATTCCAATCTTGTTAAAGAATGATGCATTGCTCCCATGTTGGCCAAGCCTTATCAGTACCTTGTTGAGAAAGGCAACAATGTCGCAAACTAGTCAGCTGGCTAACAACTTATTGAGAAAGGAAATAGTGTTGCCTTCTTGCCTTTTCTTTGTGATTGTTATGCAATAAGAGTTTTGAGTGTATGTTATCTTCCCCAAAACTTTCCATAACTGCTACATGATTGTGATAATATAAAATCATCCTGTACAGTTTATTTTCTTGTCTTTGTCTGGCTACCTACATGCATGCATTTCCTGATGGTCTAAATAAACTGTAACGTTCTTTTGGTTGTTCACCCCCAGCATACCTGCTTTCTCTGGGTCTTCTGAATGCCATCAACCATGGCACCCTTCCAACTAGGTTTCCTGGTTGGGAGCTGGAGACACTGCGCTGCCGTAGTTCCCCTCCTACTGGAGAGTTGTTTCCACAAGGTGGTCCAGGGATCATAGCTCTGTCCCTGAGCAGGTAGGTTATGGGATTCCATAGAGTTCTTCTCAATTTCCCATTCTGATCAAGATCTCTGTGAAGCCACTGGGGGAGTTGTTTGTCTGGATGCATGGGCTGAGGTGCCGTCAGGATGCAGATGACACAGCACTCTCCTTTTCATGGAATCACTGGCTAGGTGTGATAATGTCCTGGTCAAGGAATGAACAGAGATTTAGTCCAGACAAGACAGTCTGTGGCTTGCCTGTCTGGATGATGATATTTAACCTGCTCTGGAGCAGATGGCATCCCATGCACAGGTTCGTAATTCTAGGGTCCTCTTTGATCCAGGAGTGTCACTAGAGGAAGAGGTGGGCTCTCTAGCATAGGGTACCTTTTATCAGCTTAGGCTGATGAATAACTACATCCTTACATGAACGGAGAGAGCCCGGCTACAGGTTTCCACGTTCAGATAATCTCTCACGTGGATTGCTGCAATGCTGCATTTGAAAACCGTCTAGAAACTTCAGCTGGTTCCACATAAAGCAGCAAAATTGTTAGCCAATGTGAGCATATTATGTCAGTTCTTTACCATCTGCCCTTGCTGCCAGTTTATGCTTAGGACTGATTATAAGAGCTGATTCACAGCTCTAAACAGTTCAAGGCCAAGTTAGCTGAAAGATTGCCTTCTTCCTTATATACCAGGCCCTAAGACAAGGGTTCCCAACCTGGGGTGCCTGCACAGCCAGGGGTGTGAGATGACCTTTCAGGGGGATGCAACAACAAGGAAGGCTGTGTTGTGATTCACCAAAATTGGCAATTTTTTTCACCAAAAATGATCCCAATAATAAAATTATTATTATTATTTTGTTTGCATTTGAATTCAGTTCTCTTTTGTCAATTCAGACAACATCTAGGAATTGCCTGGATCCACAGGCAACTTGTGGATGGGAATCAGCAAGAAAGTTACACACTTTGACAAAATTGTGAATGAGAAGCAGGAACAAAGAAGTCATTGAATTTTATGTTCACAATTGGGGTTGAATTTATTGTATACAATTTTTTTCTAATTGCTTGATTTATATTTGAATTTTATGCACTGGGTTAAAAGTTTATTTTTGAGTTCAATTTGTTTACCCTCAGTACTGTATGTGGTTCAGTTTGTGGTTCAAAAATTATAGAAATCTGACTTCTTCATTTTCAAATGTGGTATTACTTTTGCAGGGGGTGGAAACATAAATAAAACATTTTCTAGGGGTGCGAGCACAGAAAAGTTTAAGAACCACTGCCCTAAGATTATCCTTAGCAGTCCTTCCCCAGGAGGCAAATTAAACTCATTGTGGTGGCTTTCAAACTATACCATCCCAGAAACTGCCAAGGAATTATGTATCAAATTCAAAAGTAATACAAATGACAACGTACATATTTAAAATCTCTCAGA